GGGGTTGTTTCATCAGTTACATTCGAACCTTAAAGGGGCATCCGTGATAGGTGAACGCAGGGGAATAGAGCAGGACTGGAACTAACCGCTGCTATCTAGCTCAAATGCTCCTTCAGGAGTGCGCGGCCGTTGTCCTTCAAGGTTCGGGTTCTCTTCACGGATATCCCAACAGATGTCGTTGAATATCTGGTTATATCTTTCCTTGGCGAAGGTATAGATACAGGAGATCTCTTCGACCTCTCTAGGCTCGAATAAGCATAAGAATGTCGTCCCGATCTCCCCAGAGCCGAGGCTCAGTCTCGGTTTCTGAATAAATTTGTGGCAACCCACCCCGGACAAGTTACAACAGAGCTGGAACCGATAAAGGGCACGTATTGGTCATTCCTCTTCCATTTTGCTTAAAAGCTCGCTACTCTGTGGATCCTTGGTCTCTGCGGCAAGATCGTCCAGAGCCCAGCTAGTATAGAGCTGCACGAGTGGTTTGACGGCCGAGAAGTAGAGAGCCGCCATATCCACGAGCTCATCCACACCAGACATCTCGCTAGCTACTGAATGCTGAGAGGAGGCTCGATCGGTTTGACAGTATTATGTAAGAAGCCTATTGCCTTTCTCTTCGGTGCACGTGTGGGAAAAGTCACCCAAGCCAAACTGATAAAAATATAAATGTCGATAGTGACGCTGCACACCGTTGCTTCCAAGCTTCTGCAGAGTAGGCACCTGCGATCTAACAGATACTGCTGATGATATAGAGGAGACACGTAGACTGAAGTCCTCATTGATTCAAGTTCGAGCATGGGAAGAAGGTAATGCCGAACTTCGCAAGCCCAATTAATCAACGCACCTTGTGCGAGTTGGGACAGGAGTGTATAAGCGCACCGTCAGGATGCCTGTCAGAGAAGGACTGACTAACGCAATGTAACCCATCAGTTACGCCGCTATTCCCCTGACATTGGTTCTCCGACCATCTTGTTCCTGGCAACTCGTATCTATGAAGAGCTAAGGCCCTGCGCCAAGAAAACTAGATGATCAGCGTTGGTCCTGACTGGTTGTTCGACAAATTGAATACGAGGATCTGCAGTTCACCATCCATGCTTGGGGGGGCCATTTCGCAAACAAGGTCGAGACTGTCGAGGACTTATAAGGCAAGGAGCGACGCTTCCATCCCGACAGCTCTCTCTCTTCCTCGTTTCCCGCTCTTCTTGCAACCCTACTTACACACCGGTTTATTCTGTCAACCAGTGGAAGCGCGTCAACATGAAGTGGTCAGCACTACTCCCTCTGTCGGTCTCCGTACTGGCCGTTCTTCCTTCCACTGGTGCGTGGGAGTTCACCTGGAGAGACTCCAACAACACTTCACACTTGGAAACCGGCCACGGGCCCTCTGAGTGCATCACAGTCAACCATGAAAAGGGAAAGGTATTCGCCATCGATGCGCAGGGCGAAAAGAATATAAATATGTTATTATACGGCACCGACGACTGTTCCGACAAGGCTGTGGGACAGGCGACCGAGCGTTTTTCAAAAGCGTCGTCGGTAGACATCCATGGCTTCCAAGTTAAGAGAATCTCGGGCGGATCGAATTCGACCACGACTGCTGCGAATACTACCGTGATATCGACAACACGAGCCCAGTCGTCCTCCACCGCCAGCAGCGAATCCAGCGATGTACCCACGGCGTCGGCGACCACCACGTCGGAAACAGCTGCCACTACCACAAGCGCGAGTGAAACAAGCACGCCCACGCCGAATGCATCATTGAGACTGTCCGTTACCAGTAGCGACATGGCGAAGACCGTGATTGGTATGGTGTTGGGACTTGCGACGCTTGAATGGCTGTGTTAGTTATCTGTGATGGAGATGTACGGAGGAAGATGGCTGGTTAATTGTCTATGCTTGGCTAGTTAAGGTCTGTCTACACTAATAAGCCACTTTGTCCTTCATCGCAGCTCCTATGGCTCAGTTGGTAGAGCGCATGACTAGTAATCATGAGGTCCGCGGTTCAAATCCGCGTGGGAGCATTCGAAATTTCTTTTTTTGTAACATTTTTTACATATATGGAGTAGACAGTGGGTCGGTCGTAATAGCCCGACCTCATCTCACGTTCTCAGGCCAATAGCACGCCCGGTCCTGCCATATAAAGTTGTTTAACACATTTTACTGTATAATCACTCATCGGGCTCGAGGTCCCAATAACACCGAACAGGCACTTGGTAAATGGAATCACGCGTATACAGAGCCCAGAGGACTTTGGCAACTCTATCGCCAGAGGCCAAATGCAAAAAGTGTACAAAAAGAATAGAATTAGAGCCAGACAGCCCCAAAATCACACTTGCCCTATGATCTTGTCGGGGCCGTACGTGAGTCCGGCCCAAGTCTCTGTCTACCAGGAGGCTTTTCCACCTCGGAAAATGGAGCTTCAGACGCTTACAGCATATATATCTTTCAAAACCTAGAGACAGCTTTAAACCGTGAAGCAAGTACAAGTCGCAGCTCAGAAGAAGAAAGGCATGTAGCATCATTGATAACACTACAATAGTTGTCTATTCATGGCAAAGGAAGACCAAACTTGAAGATTTGGTTCAATGGCCCCCTTTACTATGCCATATGAATCACAAAGCTTCGAAGATTCACCAAACGCTCCAAAGCACTAATCTATCGTAAAAAGAAACCATCCGTAGAAGTTCCTGTAAGGTACAGTTAGGACCGAGTAACGAGCAGATGTTGGATGTTATCTGCTGAACTCGTCCATCGCATATCTCATCTCATACATATCACGTAAAGAAACGCCATAACTCCCTGATATCAGCGCCAAACCAAGCCACCGTGATAGCAACTAAAAGACCACAAACCCCTAACACCCAACTGGTCCAATCCTTTCACTCACGGGCGAAGTGGAACCGTGATTTGCTGGAGAATGCAATTTGCACCAGGGACTCAACCGTATTATTATCGGGCTCCTCCACCGTCAGCACTATTTTTGCACACCGTTTCCCACGAGCCACGTTTTCCTGTAAAGATGCGAGCGTCTGTTCCTCTGTGTCCATTGCCGATACGCTCAGATCGTCGCCAAAATTGTCTCCTTGGCCGTACTCACTGGGGAGCTCTTCGGTTGGCGATAACAAACTGGGGCAAATGCAGTCTTTGCCGCCAGTGGCATCCGCAAAGCTGAAACCATGCAGGCTGTCAGGTGGGATGCTGTGAAGCTCCGGCACCATACCACTGAGGAATAATCCCATACTATCCGTGTCCCCTACTGAAGGCAATCCCCATGGATCTCCCGACAACGTGCCGGCCATGTCCCAGGTTGGCCCGTGCATAAAAGGATTATGTCCCGGTATCCCTTGAGTCGTCGATGGCAAGACGTCTGTGGGATTTATGTTCATTGACACGTCATCATCGGCAATGTGAGGATCATGTAGCCCGCTGCTTCCTCCTGTGCTTCCGCTTCCAAGGCCACTATCATCGTCGCTACTGTCAACAGTGTCTCCCGAGTCCTCGCATGAGCTCGGTGACAAGCTCGAGTCCTCGGGCCCAGTCCCCGCGCTGGCAGTATGCTGGGCTTCTCGCAAGTTCTTCAGTTTGTTGTATCTACGGGTAAGGATTGTGTGTCTGGTCGCGGTACGATTTCGTTAGCGTCAAGTCCTGCACTTCATCCCTCCTCCGGAGCTTATGCTTACTGATTCTTGATCGAGTTTCGTGACCGGGTAGGGAAATGCTCCATCTGGATCTCCTTCCATCGTCGTCCCTTGACCGCACATGCCTCCATCAATCGTCGATTCTATCGTCGCTCATATTAGCCTCGTACTCATCAACCCTCCATGGAGCGGCAAACCTACCTCGAGTTCTGTCCATTCACTGCGGTCTAGTTGCGGGTCGAGACATTGCTTCCATCGCTTAGCACATTCTGAACACAACTTCGATTAGCATTGCACCACGGACACAAGAGCCAAAGGAACATACGATCTGCGCTTCGTGTTTTGACGACATCTGCAACCACCGTCCATCTGTCGCGGTATCCGGTCAGTGTAGGGTTCTTCCTCCGACGAGTGACAGAAGATCCTCACGTCTCTCCATGCATTTGCACCGCATGTGTCAACAGCTTGTCTTCTTCCTCCGTCCAGTATCCCTTATTCAACCCACCGGAAAGCACGTTGTGCCACCGTTTGCGACAATCTTTATTCGTTCGGCCCGGAATCTTGTCTGCTATTGATCGCCAGTCTCTTACTCGGCCTTCGGATACTGGCACACAACACAGAGTTAGACCCAGTATGTCCGGAACACCTGTGCGATTCGACTTACATTGGCTGTGCACTTCTCGGCAGAGGAGCTTGTCCTCCTCTGGAGTCCATTTCTGTGGGGCACGAGGCATGTTGCGGTGAACAAACTTCCACGTGGAAGTGATACCGTACTATGCAAGATTATAAAAAGGATAGATAAGAATGAAGAACGAGAGCTGGGTTGGTTTTATTTTGTTCACAGTGTCCACAGACTATTTTCACCCGCAGTCTGACTATGTGTTGATAGTTGATGATTTCCAGATACAATGCACCCGGAGTAATCGCAGACAGGCTTCGGTTTATATTCTAATTGAAGGTCAATTGTGTATGCATTTGTTTAATTGCTGACTGCATTAAAAAAAAGTACCAGGGATTAAATCCAATACTTTTAGTAGCGTCTCGTATTGGAGTGTTAATTAGTACCCACCCACGGGGGCGATGTGTATTGCGAAGTAGCTAATAAAGCGACCAAAAAGGAAAATGGCAAGATTTTAATATAGAACCAGCAGGAATCATGCAATTCAGCGAATGGGAACCGACAGACAGCAGAAATTATTTCTCCCGCATCCTTCTGGACCTTCTGGTCCACTCTGGCGTGCGCCGATAAGCTTGAGCCTACTCGCGTGGCTCGGCGGCGGCATTAGTGACGGAAGAGAATGGACATCTGCGCAACTCCGAGTTAGGGCCCTACGCCATACAGCACACCAATCAGATGTCCCTATTATAGCTCCCATGGATCTAGAAAACTACTGGGGTGACTGACCATCGGGTCGACCACGAGTTACCAGGGTGCAACCGTTGCTCTACATGCCGTTCTGCCGTGATCTGTCTGCCGGGTATAGGAAAGACCCGCAGAGCAGCGTAGTGATGCGGCTGCAACGCCTATCTCCTAGACTGCTTTTGCCAGATAGTTACGATAATTATTCTGACAGGAAAGTATCCGGAATGGCAGTCCCCAGAAGCCTCCACAAGCATTTTTTGGCTGCCGCCCACAGAACTTACTGCAGCTGATTCCTCATAACTCTGTCTAGACATTGGCTGGATGACACTGGCGATCCACCTTCTTTTAGTCTGATCCTTTAATCCGCCATTACTTGACGATACCAAGCCTGAAACACAATACATCCAGCCGAGGAAGGCGAAGCTTATGTTGCATGATACAGTAAACGAAGTCGCAATCCACGAGATTCCGTGACACATGAAGAAAGACAGCCCGCTTAGCATGTCCAAATCAAGTGGATCCTGCTTCAGTTGAGCCTCAGGTGGTCTGGCCTGTTTGCCATATGGAGAATGCTGTTCGATTGCTCTAGCACCCTACAGGGTAGAACCGGAGAACTTCCGTAGAGGGTCCAGGGTCCATGCAGACACAAGTAAAAGATCAACAAGAGAGCGGCCTAGTCGTCTTAGGACTTCCCGGGTTATGTTGATCATGAGTCTAGTGTTTATCGGCTTGAACCGCCCATCTCTGTGTGACTGACGAAGGTTATCGACATCTCCATGTGGTCGATTGACAGGACCATATGGTGCCGGAATTATGCACCTAAAACAGACCCATGTACACGATCCACATACTGGACACGATTAAACCAATGCGGTCACCAAGTCCAAATTCTCTAGAAGGAATAGGCTGTTTCTTGGTACAAGTTGATCGACAGCCTTGAGATTTGGCATACAAATGCGCCCCTCGTCAATTGGTTGCATACGGCTGTACCTGACACATTGAGCCAGAACTAATCAATTTCGCCTTCCTGTGGTACGGGTCATAGTGGGATGTACCGGAGCTGTTGATCCACACATGGTACCAACCATGACGGGTTAGTTCAGACGATGCTATCTGCGACTAGACACTTGAGGTTGATAGTCGACAGTGATGTGATTCGAACGGAATGGCCGCCTTAGCCAGGCTGGAGATTACTATCTAGACGGTGCTATCCGATTCGTGTACCTACGCAAATAAGGTCCGAGGAGTGTAAACATGGCATACGGATGAACCGGTGGAATGCGGACAATGATGGATTTGCCCGTCGAGTGCAGTTGATCCCAAATCCTCGACGTACAACTGCTGAACCCAACAGTATATGGACAAGGCAAACCAACTCCGGGCTATGTCCAATTTCCTCCGAGACTGGTTCCTGCCAAGCATTCCGGACGATCGACCGGCTTGACTGGCAACCCATACCGATTGTGCAAGCGGCTCAATATCCCTCCTATCCAGGGGTGCCAACAATCTCCGGCAGTTGAGATAGGGCTGTCGGTTAGACGTTTCCCCCGCGTGGGGAGAGGAGTCTCTCCGACGAGCGCCAGACGCTACTTGACTCGGCAGGATCTGGTCTCCGTTTCTCTGCAAGCCTGATCGGCATCTCCACTTTACTCTGGTCCTTCCACCAATAATACCGAGCAGGCTCATTAAGGTATGACCAAAACGCGCCGAACATCCCTGGAAGTACATCAGTTCTCCGGCTTCATGTCATGATACCTGATAGTTGCCCCGGTCTCCTCTACGCCTCCGACCACCGACTGTTACCCGAATGATTGGGACGGTTTTGATCCTATCTTTAGCCTGGTTCGCTTACTTTGAGGCTATGGATCGAACTAAAACCCAGCCATTCACCATTGCAGCTGTGACCCTGTTGTATGCATATCTGCAGCTGAAGAACATCCTAATGCGTCAGATGAGTCTTACCCGGTAGTATCACGCTGCAGTAACAAGTAAACTTTCGGACGATAGCCGAGGTGAAGACATTCCAGGCTCATCTTTGCTAGTTTTTTCTTCAAGAAAAGAGATCTTCACTGTGGCTTCCAGCTAGCAATAGCCTGAGCTCCCTTCAGACTTTACTCGGAAATTAAGAATCCATTGCACGTTACAATGCATTAGTGTACGTCTCGAGACGGAAGGGAAAGGAAAACGGTTCACAATAGAGAGATATGCAGAAACCGCAAATCGACTGCATTACCCTCGGTGCCCGGACAAAAGTACATACTTAACCAGTGATTTTAACTATGCAGATAACAGAATGAAAGTATGCTCAAGTCTTGCTATTACCAAGATCTCATCAAATATCTTCAGAGTCGTGAGAAAGTGCTTATCATGACATCGGTTTTCTTTAAGCCGTCTACTCAGTGATAAATGTGGCTCTGCATGACCTGAGGATCCCACAGATAGACGGGTATGTTACAGAATGGCAGAATCTACAGGGAATCCACCGTCATCTCTCAGGCCCAGCACGCTGGACCCTAATTGTTGCATTGCCGACGAAGTCACACTTGTGCAACTTCACTGCGCCGCAGTGCATGGCACCACTTTTTTTTGTTTTTTTTTTTTTCCTTGATGAGTGCTTTTGCTGGTAGTGAAGATACTTTTTATCAGAAATCCTATACATAAAGATCTCGTTTCCCTCCTCGTTGCTAGTTACATTATCTAGTCAAAATTTGAATTTGTCTCCTTTCACTGGTATAGACTTTCGACTTCCCCGGGTCAAAGTGGAATGTGTACTTATCGCTTGACCCCAGCGGCAATATTTCTTTGTGCACAGTATCCCACCTGGAAAGGTTGCTGAAAGACCACGATCGGTTATATTAACGGAGGTTGGCAAGGTGACATATGCTGATAGCAATATGCCATTTGCTCCCGGCAACAGGGCGAGTATAGACCTTTCAGGAAGAATCAGTTTCCCCTCGTTGATATCATATACGATTGTAGGGCTGTCACTGAGACTATAAGAGGTTCGAACAAGACAGATGTTTGTCAACGGAATATTATCATATTGTTTGGCGTGGGACAAATGGTTTAGAGAGCATTCAAACTGGTAAATATATACTAAGATTACACTATTTGGGAGGAGAATAGACTCCAATATTTTGTATATAACCCAAGCAATTCAAATGTTTAAAGAGGAATCTCTTTCCATATTATAATCAGTGATACAGGACCATATGGTCGTCCTTTCACTCCCATCGCTCAGCGCTGAAAACAATCCGGAGACTCATGATACACACCTTAAAATGAAAATACACAGCTGAGGATAGAGATAAATACTATTGTCCGACGGAATATAAGCGACAATAACCTTATTCACCATAATCGGGACACTCTTCTTCCACCTGTCACTTATTAGCAGCGTGTCCAGCACTTTCAGTAGTCGTTTGATAGACCCAGGGTCTTATTTGAGCAAGCCAGCAAGGGGATAGTCTAGATATCGAGCACGATAGAACAGGCCTTGAACATTGGGACACGTCAGATCTTGTGCTGCTATTAGCAACCCGCATGCATGCTCAACAGACTTATCAGGTGAGTTCAAAGATCTTGCGGCGGCCGTTGATCCTTGCATATTGCGGCGGACGCAATTGGATTTGATTGCACAGTTCTACCCACTAGTCAATTCGAGCTATTGATCTCTCCAGCACACCTTCCTTCCACTCACCGAGAGTCTCTGCGTGAAATGATCCAGACCGCCGTAGGAAATTCAATGCAACGAACGAACTCTGTAATAGGGTCGTGAGTGTTTCTCTCCGCCAGGGAAAAATGCAGACGCCACAGGTCTTGGCAATTAATAGCTGGGTCGAGTGCAAGGGGTTGTGCAGGTGACACAGCAATAGTTCCTTGGGTTCTGATGAAAATCACTCATCGATCTTACATTGCAGGGCTAGATCCCACGGGCAGCAGGGACCATCCCGGACGTTGGATCGCTAGTAGCGCTTCTCCTGCGATTCCGCCGCGTGGATGGATGAGATCTACGACTGGCCAATTCTTTGTCACATACCATGCTAATGCGGGCGAGTGGGTCACTTATTGGTTAACTATGTATGCTCGTGCATTCTCAAGATGAAGATCGCTTTCTTTTGGAGCAAGCGCCGAAATGAGCCGAGAGTATTCATGTGGCTTGTCTGAATGGGTGATGCCCTAATTCAGCCCCAAGGCTCGGTCAAGATTTCTCCCAGATTATCAGGCTGCCCTCGAAACTGGCCAAGACAGCAGATCAATATAACGAGATTTACACCGTAGTGCACGTTTTTGTTTAATTCCGATATTTTTGCACCGTGCCCCATTGTCACAGCGGTCTTTATTCAAGATAAGCTCAAAACACATGCGAATAATAGTCAATAGCGTTAAAAGGGATCATGCTGAAATGGGGGAATTTTAGGCCATGTGAACCTATAACCTGTGGATACCACTCTTCGATAGCTACTCATTTCCAGAAAGAGACGAAGTATCAGGCATCATGCATATTAGAGCGTGCTATTGGAGGAAAGGTAAGTACTTTTGTTCCGGAGATTAAAAAGCAAGCATATGGGAGTGGGGCAGTTAAAGTGGCCCAACAAGTATCAGTACCATAATATAATAAAAGGAGGTCTCGATCAAGATCTCGCTCGTTCCCTTCATCTACAGGTTTGCATCCGCTTGATGGCTAGTCTCTCGTCTCAGACTAACTTTTTGAACGCTTTCTTACTGCCATCAAGCTCAACTACTGGGTTGAGCACATAACATCGGGAGAAAACACAGCTAATGTAAAATTCGCATCATGGCGGGCATACTCTGCAGTTCTTCTTTAGGAAAATTCATTCATTGGCTTTCTGGTGGCCAGTTGTTGAAATTCCCAGAGGAGAAGCCTGGCTTTTGTTTGTCTCCACCGTATTCAACAGCCGCCAGGTCAGTTTTTCTTTTAGCTTGATTCCCACGTACTTGTCGCAGAAGTATAAGAAGCAAAAAGCTGAATCTCATACCTCCAGGGTCGGTGGAATCGTGGAATCTGACAAGTGTGACGCAGAATGTGAATCTTCTGATCAGGAACATCCCTCCAAATGGCTCGTTCCGGACATTACTACTGATGGTACGATACTTGTGGGTTGGTATTCTGATGACGACCCGGGAAATCCATACAATTGGCCTCGCTGGGCCAAGATAATGGTGTATATTCAGATCAACTTTTACACTTTCGTCGTCTACATGTCGTCCGCGGCATTTACCCCGGCAGAAGTGGAATTCCAGGCCACGTATGGTGTGCCCTCATCGGTGGGCTCACTTGGAATGGCCCTGGTTCTTCTCGGTTATGGGATAGGACCCTTGCTCTTTGGCCCCTTATCAGACAAACCGTCGATAGGCCGCAACCCACCCTACGTGGTTTCGTTTACAGTGTTTTTGATAGTCAGTGTACTCGCGGCTGTTGTCAACAACGTCCCTGGTTTTCTCTTTCTACGCTTTGCCCAAGGCTTCTTCGGGTCGCCGTGTCTGGCAACGGGCCCGGCGTCCTTCGCAGACATCACAAGTCTTATTAACCTACCTAGCGGTTTATGGATCTGGGGTGTATGTGCAGTGTCTGCTCCTACCGTTGCTCCAACGTTGGCAAGTTTATGTGTCACGTCAAAAGGGTGGCAGTGGAGCATGTGGTTAATCGTTTGGTTTGCCGCACCATGCTTCTTGCTTCTGGTTCGTTTATTGTCTTCTCCGCCATGTTTGGTGAACTTATACAATGATTCCGATTTAACATCCATTAGATATTCCTGCCAGAGACATCAAGCCCAGCCATTTTATATCAACGCGCCAGGCGGCTACAGGCTTTGACTGGCAATGATGCGTTCAAATCCAGTTCCGAGATCAACCATGCGGAGCTGTCCCAAGAGACGTGGTATGACTTTCTCATCATTCCATGGAAAATAAACGCCTTCGATCCAGCGATCTTGTTTACTACACTCTACACCGCATTGGTGTATGCCATCTTCTATTCCTTCTTCGAAGCGGTGCCCCTGGTATACCAAGGTGTATACGCGATGAGCTTATTACAAACCGGAGCAATATTTCTCACTGCTATAGTAGCCGTGTTGATTACCACACCATTCTACTTAGCAATTACTTATGTTACCATCAGCCGACCATTCCAGGCCGGGAAAATGCCTTCACCCGAACAGAGACTCATACCGGGGCTTCTTGGCTCACTAGTTGTCCCAGCGGGAATGTTTCTATTTGCATGGACTTCAAGCCCAGAGTTCCACTGGATTGTACCCACCATAGGCTTCCTGCTTTTCATGGTAGGCATGCCCACTCTTCTCCAGTCGATGTTCGCCTACATGTCAGTCTCGTATGGAAGATACGCCGGGAGTCTCTTCGCCATGAACGACTTTGCGCGCTCTGTTCTCGCCTTTGCGTCCATTCTTTGGTCGACCCCGCTCTACGTGAACCTTGGTATTGGGAAAGGTGCGAGTCTGATCGGGGCGCTGACGGTGGTATGTGTTTTTGGGATCTTTGCTTTATTTTGGTTTGGGGCTACACTGAGGAAGCGAAGCCGTTTCGCGGAATATGAGACGGACAGAGAGTTGTAACTTTGGAAATAGCAGCTGTTCTATTTAGCAGGGGCCCATTAAAAGAAACCCATAACTTAAGTGTTGATACTCCGACTCTTCTCTTCTGTCCATATGGTCTACTCTTGGGTAAAAATGTATCTGAGTAGAGCTACCTGCATTCCTCCATAACACCTTGGATGATATACCCGACGTTGTTGACGAGGATGTCAATCAGACCGATGATGGACTCGACATTGCCGACGACGGCTTGGATTTCGACTTCATCGCGAACTTCGAGCTTGGTGGGCATGATGCTGTATTCCTTCAGGTCCGACTTGGACGAGTCGCGAGATGTTACCGCGACCTTGTCGCCGTTTGATGCAGTTGTGATAGTCAACGGCCGAAATGAACCAGATGCGAGGCATGGTGCGAAGCCTGATGAGTTGGCGCTAAGGATTACAAGGATAAGGAACTGGAGATACAATATGTTATTAGTTCACCATGGGGACTCTATGAGGCATATGTAGCATGTCGCATTCGTAGCTGGCCTAATAGATGGATTCGGTATACCTCAAATGTTCTGTTTTAGGATTTTTCTCAGAGTCGGATCGAACCATGTCTAGGGCCACAAAAACCAGTCACAGCGCTTGTTTCCTTATCCAGGGATATTGTAATATTTAGTAATACTAATATCGTTCGATGTATATGCCTCGCCCCAGAAACTGTAACGGCGGCATGCTCCTCTTCGGTCGAGCATTGATGCATTGCACCATCGTAAGTTCCACGAATCGGCTCAGCCACACTAATCCTTCCAAGGCACAAACAGCTTCTAGAACAATTCTCCAGACGAGACATTCCATTGGGTCCTTAAGGCTGCAGCAAGCCCAACGGATAACCACACCTTCATCTGCTGGAAGCCGAAACTCCACGCGATGACATGTAAGAACGTGGCGCCACTGTTTACGAGCGTAGTACTTACATTTGAGACATTGGTGAGTCATCGTTCTGGACTTCCGACAGAGTTATGATCTGGTCAAGAGGCTTGAGACAGCGGATCGGACCGTGAAGGTTTTGCACAGCCTGGACCATGGCCATGTGGTCAATCGCGTGTACGGAAGACATGCAGGTTCGGGACTACTTTATTTCACCGTCGGTGGCTTGTTTGCAAATCGGACTCTCGTGATGCACGACGCAGTTTCTCTTATTTTTTTTTTGGTTTTCATTTTTTGTCGCCATTCCTGGTGGGTAGCTGTCCTAAGTGGCTATTTTCATCCTCTGCGAATGGAGTCCGTAGGTATGCGGATGAGATTGTTATCACTGTCTCAATTAGTGACAGGAACTTGCAGTCCTTGTTGTTCCCTGCATGATCAAGCAAATATGGTACTAATTTGTGATTATCTAGCAAGCGAGTCCCTGAACTCGGATCGTACAAAGTACAGACAGATTCAAGTCAAGTAACAAAACTCATTGATATCATTCCATAATACGTGCACAGTAGTATATACAATTTCTCATGCCAGATGATTCCCCTCCGCGCTATCAGGTCCTGCTCGACAAATCGGGTGGGGGTAAATGGGTGGTCACTTGGAGAGAAGATCTTCTCCGATGGACCATTTGATGGTATAACAGCCTCCATGACTCAATCTAGGGGATGGCTGTGTGAAAGGGATGTTGGATGTAATAAAAACTCCAGGGTTTTGAGTTGGGACGACTAGCGTTCTAGCAGATCTTACTAGACGCCCTGCATGCGAGTCAACTGCTGACTAGAAGTATCGCGTCAGTAAATATGATATCATGGAAACTGTCGAGAAACAGCCTTACATCGTCTTTTCCAGCTGATCGAGACGTTGGCCGTGTTCCGACATCTGCTGCTGCACCCGTCGGAAGGAGTCAAACTCCATCCTTTTGCCATAGGGACTCTCTTGACGAGGGGTCGTATCCTTCCTATTGCGGCCCACTCGGTTAGTCTCTACCATGGATTCAATACCTCAACATTCCATTGCATGCTGAGGAATGTCTCTTCCGGTGTCACTGACGTCATTCCCGACGTCAACCACCCTCGATTAGGGCCAGGAGAAAGGGGACAGAACGTACTCCGCTAGGAACCCACGCAGCTTGGTCATGTGCGTCCCCTCGTTGGCGAGTCTGGCAGGAATGGCGATAGAGAAGGGGCGCATTGTGTTTGACTGGCTGCGGGCACGGGCGAGGGGGCGCGACGCTTGGATGAGGGTGGGCGACATAGTGAAGCGATCCAGATACAGGTCGGCTGAACTCAATTAAACCAGACAGAGACAATATAGTATGGACGGTCTATCGAACGGTAATGATTCAGATATACAATACCCTTTCGAGATGTCCGGACGGGGGGGTTTATATACTCGATGCTCCGTTCGTTGCGACAGCTCACGTGACCCTGCGAGTGGCCCAATCCGGCGCAGGATGAAGCCCTGGCCATGGATCGGGATCGCCGCAGCTGCGCGTCTGAAAGGACGGACCAGAGTCTTCCGTGGCCTCTCTGGCGAATCATCACTGGTAGTCGATCATCGTTTCCCCGGGTTTTCCCTCCTCCGCATCATCGGAGTGCTCTGCTCCACCCCTCAAAAGAAGACCTCTCACACAGCACGCAAGGGATGCCTTCATGTGCAATGATATCATCGGCTACTGGGGGAATGCAGCCTCTCAGGTTGCCTATTCGTGAATGAACACCAGCTACGACATACGCCACAGCCGTGGCGTGTGTCCAACAGTATTCTGTACACAGTACCACGTCTCAGTCGGTCCCACGACTTGGCCGATCGATCAAATCAACGAAAGGTGAATCTGGATGGAGTCCTACAATCCTCATTCAAACAGCTCATATCCACACATGAAGTAGAATGGGTCTGCTGAAACTATGCCTTGATTGGCAACAGAGAAGGTTCCACATCGCTCTTGTTTGTTTGCTGTGATCGGCAGCCCGATTATTGGGCCAATCGGCATAGCATAAGATAGAAACCTCCCAAATTGATCCCTCGGACGGCGGAATTCGATGCAGCTTTTACGGTCGCAATCATACATCGGGTCATTCTCTTCCCTGCCGGATGACGGCATATGAGCGTCCGGTTCAGTGCGTGTTTATTGCACTGCGCGCAGCGCGTCGCCTACAATCCGTTGCCCTATTCTATCCCGACCAGCTTTGACATCATGGTACTTTTTCTTAATACGCGTCACGACTCATGTACGGTTCATTAACTCAGAAAATCTGTATTCTTAGGAAACAGGAACATGTCTGGCTACACTTTCACGTAAGCCCCAACTCCAATTATTAGATCATATATCGGAACCCCTTTTGCAACCGCCGCGCTGCCGCAATGTCGATGCCCTCCATCTCCGCCGTCTTCTGTAACCGTTCGAGTTCCTTCGGCGTCAACGTCACCTCCTCGTCCTCCAACCGGTCCAGCCGTTTGTTCAAGCTCCGCAGGTGGAAATACATCAGGATCGCCATCGCCAGCCCCAAGACCTGCAGGCCAATACACGTCCCCATGGCCGGGCGGTAGTAAGGATAATCCGTGTGGCGGTAGGTATACGGGGTCCAGATACTGGCCGAGTTGCCGATCGAGTTGATGAAGGCGTACGCGGCCGCGCGTTTCGCCGGCGGGCGCGGGATGGAGTTGGCGATCCAGGAGTAGACGGTGCCGTTCTGCGCGAAGACAAAGATCATGAGGAAGAAGGAGAAGTAGCGCGGCCCGAAGCCGTCAGTGGTCATGAAGACGACGAAGCCGATAATCGTGATGGGGATGGGGTAGACGAAGAACCAGAACCGGCGGCCGAACCGGTCCGACAGGTAGGAGTGCGCGAGACTGTACACCACCATGAAGATATAGGGCGGTGCCACCAGCAGCAGCGAGATGGTCTCGTTGAAGTTCAGCGTCCTGGTCAGCGTCGGGAAGAAGTTCTGGAAGCCGCTGGCGCCGGTGATGGCCATGTACGCGAGGGCGAGCGCGTAGGTCTTGATGTCCGTGAAGGCCAGCTTCAGACCCTTGACCTGGCTCATCTTGCCGGCTTCGTCGACGTCCGCCTCCGCGGCCTCGATAGCGAGGCGGCGATTGGCCACATGCTTCATCTCCGGCGACAACAGCTTCCAGGTGTCGGGGAAGTCGGGCAGCAACACCGCCACGGTCAAGCCTACGGCCATGGTGATGGCGCCCTCGATGATGTATAACCACTGCCAGGCGGAAATCCCCCGGTGGCCCTGCAGACCGTTCAGGATGCCGGCGGCGATGAGGTTGCCAAAGGCGCCGCTGAGCAGCGAGCCCGAGTAGAAGATACTCATGCGCAGGGCCAACTCTTTCTTCGTATACCACTTGGAGAGGTAGAACAGCACGCCGGCGAAGAACGGCGCCTCCACCAGACCTAGGATAAACCGACAGGCGACGATGCCCCCGTAGCTCGTGACTTGGCTGGTCACCGTCGACACCAGGCCCCAGGCCGTGGTGAAAAAGCCGAGGTAGAGCGACGGTCGGCCCATGTAGTTCAGAAGGAGATTCGACGGGACTTGCATTAGGATGTAACCGACGAAGAGAACGGACAGGCCGGTCTGGTATTGTTGGTCATTGATGTTCAAGTCTTCCATGAGACCTTGCAATTTGGCGGCGGCGTAGTTATTCCTGTCACTCAGCGTTAGTCTCCACTCATTTCCACTCCGTAGCGCTCCACAAAGATTCGCTCCACCTACCGATCAATATAATTCATCAGATACACGAGAATGACCAACGGCATGATTAAACTATCAATGCGCCGCCGCAGTTTCTTCTCGATCTCCAGCTCCTCGGGCGTCAACTGAGACACCTGGACCACTTCCTCATGGGTGATATCTGCTTTGTCGCCCATCACTTCATGGTCGGTGATCTTGCCGTCGTCCATGATGAGAGAGGTTCAGTCGACAACACAGCAGCAACGAGAAATCCGCTCGGGACAGAGCGATGTAGGGTAGAAAGATGGACCCGACCCCAGGGTCCAACCGACGCTATATAAACAATCCACCCACAGGGGGGAGACTCGTATAGGATGGCACGGTCGCAAGGGCCATCCTGCCCAACCGACTCCACCCAAATCCTGGGGTAGGACCAGCCCCAGCAACGGCACAAAGCGACGTGGGGGTAACTCTGCATGCGCAGGATGATCTCATCCGGGGACGAGGCAAACCAAAAAGCTGGGGTTGAGGAATGTTCGATCGTCTCAGCACAGCTTCGACCAATCCGCATCTGGACTCCCCCACGCGGGCCCCCGACCCTAACGCCATGCTTTCCCATCTTGAGGCATAGTCTCGGAGCATGACCGTGGGCATCGGCCACCGTTAGAGTTTGGGCAAAGGTGGGGAAAAGAGCTTTCCTGGAGCTTTGCTGCAGTTCGACCCTGTATTTCGTTGAGATTGCCCTCTTTAGGCTGAATGGTTGACCTGGAGAACTTCCGAGGTTATGCTCGTATCAGACCATGCGGCGTTTCTTGGCTCGCAGCACCTCCGTGTCTTGGACTCACATCCTGAGCCGTGTCTCCTGCTGCTCGAGGCACATGAGGCACGCTGAACTGCAAACTAAGTGCTTAGCTGGCTCGAAGGGATCACTAAGGTCACCGACCCCTGCGGTCACTACGACATTCTCGACCAGTGAGACGGCCGAATCCAGCCGTCTCAGAATTGACCAGAGCGAATTTTGGGATGGATTGGTTATCATGACAAGACGAGTGCTTAGCAGGAGCTACCAGGCAGGGACTACAATATACACAGAATCCTTTCATAGTTGCTGTCGCACGTGCGGTTGTTGCCCTAATCATTTGTTCGGCATAAAATAATATGACAAGAGAAAAAAAAAAAAAAAAAAAAAAAAAAAAAAAAAAAAAAAAAAAAATCGAAAAAAGATGGAGATGCGGGGAATTGAACCCCGGACCTTTCACATGCTAAGCGAACATTATACCACTAAACCACATCCCCAATTCGATGATGAGCTGCAGCATCTCTGCCATTATAAACAAATCCCTATTGCTATTCGCATTCTCATCCAAGATCCTTCAGTGATGGTATATCATGCCTCGAAGAGGTTTTATAGATCCATTCGACATGTTTCTTGGTGTTGTAAGACGGCTCCACATCATAGACTCTGTCCTTTCTAGGCTTGCCAGACTTGGTGGATTTCTTCTGCTATCTTCATCGAAAACCTCCGTTATATATAATGATCGGGTCCACCCGGACGAAGTACTGGTATTCCAACGACGGTTGGTAGGGTCACGGTGAGTTCCTACATGAAGTACGCAAAAAATTCTCTTAAAACAAATGGCTAGAAAAGCAGTCGCATTGTCGCTTCAAGTATATACACAATCTATATCTGGCGGCGGGCTAAAACGTGACGGACCAAGTATGAACGGAATGCCAATATACAAATAAAAGCAAAGAAACAAACAGGGCCATTCTATCCCAAACGTAAAATCGTACACGCTGGAAAAACAACAAATGCAAAATGTACACTGGAAGATTAGAAACTGAAAAGACCACTGCGTCGTTTTCCAAAGGGGTAAACGACTAGAGCAGCAATGAACAGGCCGACGGTAATACCAATGGCGACCTGAATCATACCGAATCCCAAGCTGGCGATCGATGTATCCTGACTAGCACTGTTGAGGCTGTCACTGCTGTTTGAATTGGCCAGATTTTCCCGTACTTCGTTGGCGTACGTAATACCGGCCATCAACGAGCCACTCGAGGCCAAGCCGGAGGGAACGAGCACAAAGATCCCCGGAAGGATGGCGGTGGCGGCATGGCCATGCCAGAGCCGACTGTACAAGTTGCCAAGAAGTCCGACCGTGAACGCACCCACCGTGTTGGCGACTTCCGAATTGGAGCCCAGCTTCTTGGTGCTGAAGTAATTGGTAACGTAGCCACTGATCGCAATGACAATCATGGTCGGCACCTGCTTCCACTTGGCTTGGTTGATGATGGCGAGGAAGACGACATAGACCGGCACAAAAATAAAATGCTGAATGTACTCGCTGCCCCACACGTCCAGCTGCGGGCACGTCGTGTTAGAGTTGGCATTGCCGTCGATAAGCCCGTAGATGGTCGTGCCAACCGTGATTCCATAACCAAGGAAGAGTGAATAAATAATAGCGTAGACCATACGGATCGACCCCGCAATCATCTGGTGTGACTGCAGTTCCAGACTGCTGCACAGCACCATGAAACCAGGAAGAATGAGAGCAATCGAGGATTGGGCGAGGGCCGAGAAACAGAACAGGTACTCTTCGCCCTCGGTGGGAGACTTAATGGAGCCAAATGCGCGTGCAAGGAAGGACGTCAACACGGCCGCCGATACCTCGAACACGTTGGAATACAGCACGGACCTGGGCGCCAGGATATGTTGCATAAACCCGACAAGGGACCCCAGAAAGAAACAGATAGGCATATCAATCGGACGGGCATCAAATGCAAACGGACCCACGGCGACACTAGCCAGCCCATATGCAGGGACTAAGAGCCATTTGTTAAAGCGCGGAGAGCGTTGCATGATGCCGTCAAGCTCCTGACTAGCTTCCTCGACCCCTACAAGGTCGTGGACAACGTTCTTATACACGTTGTGGGTCTCCGCTAGGCGACCTAAATCCACGCCCTGAACCATGCGGACGAGCTTGACCTCGGCCGTGCGGGTGGTGGGATCATCGAAGGACATGATCATGCACCCCGGGAGATACAAAAATTGGCCTTCGACCTCCAGCACACGCGCCGTCATTTTCATATACTCTTCTAGACGATGAGTGGGCGCGCCGTAACGCATCAATGCACGACATAGCTGCATGATATAACGCTGCCGGGCAAGGATCTCTGCGATATGCACTGTGACACGAATCTCGTCTTCCAAGCGGGTTTTGCGATAGGCCTTCTTCTTACGTGTCTTCGGGGTAGCAAACGCAAGAGGATCGGCTGAAGCTGGAAGGCTGGCACGGCTCAGGTTCATCGAGGCTTCTACCAGAGAAGCTGTCGACTGATGGTTTGGTTTCTTGTACCATTTCAGCTTTTCCCGCTTGGGGGTTGCGGCCCCGGATTTCGGCGTTGCGGCCCCCGACGAAACCTGCGACTCACTGTCGGATGAGTCGGTAATGACGCTCTCTGTTGAACCCGTTTGACCGGCTTGCAACTTGAGGAGTTGGGACAAGATGCCTCCGCCGCTAAAGGATCGAGACCTGGAGCTATACCATGATTCAGGGCGACCCAAACCCTCTGGGGTGGTTTGCCCCGACCGCGTGTAAGCCGATTTAGGCTTGCGATGACGCAAGGCATTTTGCGACTGAGTTACTCGGCGTACTAGGCGATGTGCCTCTGCACTCGGAGCAAAATCCTGCTTCTCCTCTTCTGGGGTTTCGGTTGTGGGCTTTCTCCTCTCTTGGATTTCATGATATGGAACGCCGCCCTCAAGGTCGTCCGGCAAAAGAGAGGCTCCGAGATCCTCGCCACCATCCTGAGGCCGGCCGAGTCGTTCACCCAGCCGGACCGTCTTCTGACGGATTAGTTTGCTAGCAGCCTTCAACCGTGCTCCGACGGATGGGGAGCGATTGGGAACATCATTGCTGAACCTTGATCTTTCGGTGTCGTAGTCGAGGGGGACTCCCGGGGGGCTCGTGCTGCCATCTCGGCCTCTTGACGATGTAGTGGGTTCTGCTTCCGCCTCGGCGCGGAGGGTATCGGACAGGTCGGTCGAACGGGCAGAAGTGGGATTGATGGAATGGACTGACATGAGAGTTTGATCTGAGTCGAAACGAGCCATTGAGGGACGAATGGGCGGAGGGGCTTCCGATCCCTGAGCACTCGTAGACTGAAACCTCACTCGTTGAGGGCGGGCATGCTCGTTCAGCGCGTCGTCGGGGCGTAGCTCGGGGCTAGGAGGGGAAGGCTGCTCGTCAACATGATCATGACGATGGACTGCTGGGTCGGTTTGTTCTGGGTTGGCTTGGGGATTCAGCCATTCGTAAGAACCGCTGCTCTCACGGGAATGCGACATTGGCTGGTTAGGCAGTCCAGCTGCGTTAAGCCCAAGGCTTTAGCGAAAGTAAAGAAAAAGAGGGGCAAAAGAAACGATAATAAAAGAACAGGAGAGAGAAGCTTTAGGCGGATGGTATGGAGGATGTACAGCGAATGTCGTTGCCGGTGGATAATAACGAGAGGCAGTGAGAGGCAGTAGGCAGTGAAGGATAATTGTGGAAGACAGGACGAGGATTAATGAGCCGATAGACGTCCAGGAACGCAAGAGTAAAATTTCCAGATATATGGCACCGACAATGGCATTAACGGCGTGGAAACGTGGGTGGAGAGATTTCGCGGCCTTGGACGGGGGCGAACCAAAAATAAGTTGAGTCTAGAACACAAAACATAGTTTGGAAGGGGTGAAGAAGAAGACGACCACGACGAAGAGACGGGAGAAAACAGAGTGGAAGGCGAGAAGAGATCGACCGTGATGAGCCGAGGTGGAGAGCCATTTTGTGATAGTCGTCAAACCATTCATTCTAGAGGGAGGCCGAAAGTGGGAAAAGTGCCATGATCTCATCGCGAGAAGAATCAAGCCGAGCGGATTGGACGATAGTCCCCGTCTGCGAGTGAATGTCAAAAAGTGGACCGCATTTTCTGCAAAGTGTCAGTCTCTCGCATGAGAATTTTGGCGCCGCGGACCCACCGAGCGTATCCGTCCGTCTCCGCCTGAATAAGTCGCCGACAAGTCATTGGAAGAAGAGGATTCATGGAAGGATGGTGGGGAGTTGTGGGATATAGAAAACAGTTATGATAGTCGCAGTCGTTGTTGGAAGCGAAAAGAAAAGCAAGAGTTGTACCGTAGGACTCTGTCGTCGTGATGGTGTTGCGTTGCTTGGCAGGGAAAACAAATGGAACGTGGAACCTCGTGATCAGCCATCCCGAACGGGCTCGCGGGTGTTGTGACTTGTCGCGCCTGGCCTCATTTCCCAGGCCTCCCACAAGCAAAACCAAATTCCAAGCAGACGAAGAACTGCTGACAGGGATAGCCCTAGCAAAACCGGCTTTGGCCTCCACACAACCCCCGAGTGGATCTTCTGGGATGGACACTGACAGTGGATCCCCTTTTTACGGTGGCAATGTGAAGTTAAAACAACTTCCAATGAAGACGATGACCAAGCGACCGACTAGACCGACGTCTGCGATCGTCCATGTTCCAGAGCCATTTCCCCGTCGTGGTTCATTTTCAAACGACGCCAACAGTGGTCTCTATCCCACTATTCTTAAAAAGAGAACAAAACAAAAAACAAAAAAAAAGGCCAAAAAAAGAGGACTGCTGTCTTTCTATGCCATCCGACGACCATCGGGTCGCTGTTTCCCCTAGTACGATAATGCCCAGGAAGAGGAGGAATGTGCACATATAAGAATACCACAGGGGACTACGATACTGATCGTTTTACGATAACCCTCTCCAAAATGTGACCTCGCAATCTGGTCCCCGCTGGAAAATGCACAGAGTGGGCGCTACCTATGTCGCTACACACAGACATGTGGACACATAGCCGATGCTGATGAAGCTTAACTCTGTCGGCAAGAGCAACATCCGGTTTTTCCAGAGCCAATTCAAAATATAGGGGAGCCTTGGCTTGACTAAGCGATGGGTCTGGTGTATTGCTTTTTTTTAATGGATCAGTCTTCCAAATATTTCCCTCGCTGCGTCGTATATGTCTTGCTTCGTTCTAGAAGCCCCAGAAGGAAGGGAACGATCCAAAGCCTGGAATTCTCAGCTGTCGATCGCTTGTGTACTTCGCGCCACTAGTACAAAAAAGAAAGAAAGAAAGAAAGCTGGGAAAAACACCTAGGGACATGATTCAGTCGCTAGAAACACTCCCACCGCATGTCGCCTGATAGTACTAAGTATGTACTCATATCGCAACCGATAGGGTTGCTGGCCCTACAAGATCAAAATTCCCATACCGTGAGTATGATATGTCATGGAGTGAATCGATGTTCAATGACTTCATGCTAGGTATGCTTCTCACAGGCATCCCAACTGGCCATGAAGGATCTTGCGCCTGTACAAAAACTTTAGTCGGGATTGTTTCAACTGCTGAATCATTGCAGTGAAAATGAAATGAGAGACAAATATTTGGCGGTGTAAGCCTCCAGATGTGCCTTGGGGTTGATGCCCAATCGTACAAGCCATTTTCGCTGGGGTTTGCTGTATTTTAGAGCCCCTAAAAGATGGCTGACTACATTACCAGATCGGCTAACGAAGAAAGACATCTTCAAATGCGCCCTAATTTGGTGGCGGAAGGTGGTCGCGAGGTGTTCTCTCTCGCTTGCTGCAGCATAAGAGACCTGGCCTATCGGAGGCCCAAGGATGCACAAAAGGAGCCGAATGGTGGTCGACCAAGATATGCAGAATTCAAGAAACGCGGATAATTGTCAGCGCCGCCCAGTGACAGTGAAACCGATTCGCCTAGATTGTGAGAACATGACGCTCATCCAGATGCTTGAGGTCAGCCAACGATAAACAGATGGGTTGGAACCATAGGATCCGTGGCTTGGGGGTTTAATGTACCTTCCCGGGTGGCCCAAAACCTATCCAACCCCCAACGAAGGAATATCCTTCTGCTTTTGCTCTTCATTATGGGGTCGTCATCATATCCACTATCTTCAAGCGCGGTGACACAGAAGCAGTCATGGTGTTGCATGCCATTGCCTGTGAGCTGCTTGAAGAGTAGAACGGTGGGGACGTGTGTCTCATGGCGACTCTCTGAAATGGTGTTCTCTGTAGATACCCACTGCTGCATATGGGAAATTACCAGAAGATCACTAGAATCCAGACCAGCCTAAGCGATCCAACACAATCTTTTCGGCGACCATATGCTCTCTATACGTGCCCCTGTCTCGCTTGAGTAGGAACAACGTTGCCTACCTTGGGATTTGGAAGAGGGTATAAAGATCTCTTCCTGTTCTCATCAGACTCTGAATTCTCTCAAGAACTACAATTTGCATCCTGTTCTAGCCAGTTCTTTTCGCCTCTCTTTGCCCTCCCCCCCTTTTCTTTTCAAACATTTTCCCTGTGGTAGCCATCTCTCTCTTGACCAATGTTGGTGACTTCATATCCACCGGAAATCAATACCGGTACCGTCACAACATATTTACCACTCGCCACACCCTGGGGCTGGAACAATAACTGCTCGGACAACTTTCAATGGCATAATGGCTCTCTGTGGGCATCATTTGACCCCGCATTTGCTGCCTATGCGGAGCACCAATGTGGGCCACCAGAATTCCAACAGTGGTATGATAAAGAGGAGTTTGTAGGACCTGATGGCCTCGCTACCACGACATCTCTTGGCCCCCTGGCTCCTCCTACCAACGTTCCTAATATTTCTGTCGCATCAATATTTGTTAGATACCAGTCGAGCACGCTTTCTCTTTACTGTCCCCCGTAAGTGAAGCCCTTGCCAGTTATATTCAATGCTGACCCAAGTTGAAGAGAATACAAATCATCATCAGCAGAGGATTTCCCAGACTGCGTATCCGCCATTCAGCCTAGAACTCCAGTTACCTACATGAGTCCTACGATCATGGGTAGGGACACGACCTGGGCCACGAAGACGACACAATTTACAGAAATTACAAATGTTCATGCGTTTCCTGTGCAAGGCTGGAATATCAATGACACTGGAGGTCATGGCTGCTCATCCTGTTTTACTTGCCCGTGCGCTTTTCTTTATTCTCATCATGAATAGAGATGAAGGACGGACAGCCGTACGGAGAAGATATGCCAGGAACAATCACCGGAGCGGACAGCGGGGCACACATAAGGTTTCTAGGATAAAGAAGATGAAACCAGCAGGCTTGGCTCAAGTAATGCCGGGGAACTCGATCTTTGTTCTAAATTCAACCGACAAAGACGATCTCTGGAGTAACTTTCCAGGGCGCTTGATGCCTCTCTTGTTGAAGCCTTTGTTGATTGGGATGAGTCAGGGCTGCTCGGACCACTATAGGCTGAGGGATCTATATTTTTAGCAACCCCAGACTTGGGCTGTGGATCTGGATCGGTGTATAGACCCTGTAGAGAAGGTTGAATCAGATGGGGCACCATTGCTGTAATTGGGGAAAAGTGGACTTGTTCCTCGATACGCATTCCGCAGCCCGGGCTATAAAATCTCTGGAGATGGCCCTTTTTCTGGCCATTAGAACCCTGTACCCGCGCTCTTTAGTCGATTATCTGCATCCATCTTACAACAGCACTCGTGACTTAGTCTATTGCACCTTCGCTTGCGCATCGCCCCAAGTTGCTCGTGATGAAGCTCCATCTGGTGTTTCTGTCTGCCTTCGCCAGCCTCGCGGCCTGTGCGGTTGCAGGTAACAGCCAAGGTAAGCGGGATTCCCACCTCTCCCCTTCGTTTCTTGTACTTCACATCTCGCTCATAAGAACTGATTCATATTCTCCTTCCTTCACTGAAGAGCCTGGTGACGTGGAAAAACGCGATTTGCCCAAGTTTAACCGGCCTACGGGCCTTTCGTTCACCCGGCCATGTAACCGATCTTGTGAAAGTGATGGCGACTGCTGCCTTTCGGATACATGCTCTCCCGATAAAAGATGTCAAGGGTTTTATTATGAGAAGTTCCCTAACGGATATCCTGTAAAACAACATAGTGTGAATTTCTCTGATCCTACCGAAGTGGAGAAGTGGAGAAGTGGTCAAAAATATCAATGGGTATGTCCTCTCAAATCCTTGATACCAATTCTGCTAATCGCATTTTGTAAGTAGACAGAGCCACGCCCCAAGGGCCAGATCATTCCCCTACATCTCCGGTGAAAAAGCGCGATGATCTCAAACTTGTTGAACCACGGATGGATCCTTCAATTGTTACATTCAGTCAAGGATGTAATCGATCCTGTGAAGTTGATGGTGGCTGCTGCCGTTCGGATACATGCTCTCCCGATAAACGATGTCAAGGGCTTTTTATTGAGCAGTTCCCTAGAGGATTTCCCCTAGGACAAGCGATAAATGAGTCTGATCCTACAGACGTGGAGAAATGGTCTAGACTGTCCACAGGTACGTTCTATTTGATTACCCTTGATACCAATTAAACCTGCTAATATTTATCATTATTAGAACGGACGTCTCCATTCATAGTTTACCCTTCTACCCCTTCGAAGAAACGCGATGATCGCCAGCCTTATGAAGGACCTCGAAGGCTTCCCGACCCTACAATGATTTGGTTCAGCCGACCATGTAGTCGATCCTGCGAAGCTGATTTCTACTGCTGCCTTTCGGATACATGCTCTCCCGATAAAAAATGTCAAGGATTTTTTTCTGAGAAGTTCCCTAAAGGAACTCCCATAGTACATGGGATAGATTATTCTAATACTACAGAAGTGGAAAAATGGGCCAAGTTGTCATCAGGTAACTTGTCTATGATTAATCTTTAAATTAAGCCTGCTAATATTTATTGTTATTAGAACGGGAGAATCTAGAGTTCCCTATCCCTTCTCCAGCTCCGCAAAAACGGGACGACGTTAAGCCTATAGCTACAGCTCCAGAGGCGGCGGTGCCTCAGTCGGCAATGTTCAGTCTATCCTGTAAACGGTCTTGTCAACGGGATATCGAGTGCTGCAGTTCAGACAGATGCTCTAATAACAGATGTGAAGGATTTTTCCAGGAAAAATTTCCGCAAGGGTACCCCCTACGGTCGGAGATAGATTGGTCTAGTAGCACCGAAGTAGCGGCCTGGGCAGAGATTGCAATGCGTAAGTTTGATTTGTTCTCCATAGCAACTGTTCTAATATTCTATAATCAGAGCAAACGAAGCAGGATCTGCTACCAGAAGATTCTTCTACACCAGAAAAACGCGACGACGTCAATCTTCCTCAACTGATGGATGACGCTGGTATAATTTCGTTCAGCCACGAATGTAGTCGATCCTGTGAAGGTGATGTCCACTGCTGCCTTTCGGATACATGCTCCCCCGATAAAAAATGTCAAGGGTTCTTTTCTGAGAAGTTCCCTCGAGGATATCCCACACAAGAGTTAAATTGGTCTGATACTACAGAAGTGGAGAAATGGTCGAAGTTATCAACGGGTAAGTTCTCTTTGAACATTGTTTATATTCAACCTGCTAATATGTCTCATCTTTAGAACGGAAGACACAATGGCTATATAAGAGCGATTTGATCTGATGACTGTATAGTGTACCCTGCTTCTGGTGCATGGACAATTCGGTGGCCACATGGCGATGTTGGAAGGTATACCCGCTGCCTTTTCAATACCGATGAGTCATATCTGTACTGTATCTAGATAGGATTATGAATTGGGGAAGTTGGATAGGGATAGAATTTCAAGAATCAAGAATCGGTGTCCTGGCTCAATAGTCTCGACGATTCGTCTTTGGCTTTTGCCAAAGTATCCTTCCCTAGTTGACAGGTCTCCTTCCCTGTACAGTAGATGTCCGCGACACAAATGTACACCTCAACACAATTTCCTAAAGATGTCTTTGTAAAGGATTCGCATATAAGAGATACAAATATATCAGTTTGCTGATAGTGCGTGGATCCCATCCCGAACTATGGAAGGTGCGATCCGGGCGAGATTAGACTTGCCATCTCTTTTTATTGGAACTGGTCCATGCCTTTGGTCTGGGTCACTGGCGGTAGACGTATATGAGCGCAGTCTATATTAGGGGAAAGCTATGTGATGGAGATAGCTCCCGAGCAAACAATACATTGTTGTTCAAAATTCTCCTGGGGCTGGTTCACCACACTAAGTCTGCGAGGATAACACGGAATTATAAGGCTGCCGATAACTTAAAGCAGGATAAGTGAGTGTTAGAAATCAAACCGGTATATTTCCACAATTGGAACTTTCAAGGAAATGCTCCGTAGCAACACGGGGGCCATTGAGAGCCTACTGGCATCAGGAGCATCGCATTTACAAGGGCAAGGTGGTCTTCGGGACTGAGATACAAATACACTTCCTACGGGCTCCATACCCATCACTAATCAGCAGTTGTCTGCGGTAACAACACCAGCCATTATGCCTCTCAAACTACTTTGTCTCCATGGCTGGGGCACCAATACCAAGGTGAGCCAAATCCACTGCATGGCTGAGGTTTGTGGCACTCACTCATATGTGATAGATCTTGCAGTCCCAGCTAAGTATGTGGTACTGTCCCTTGGAATAGGCCAATCAGCTTACCAGATAGATGGTCTAATGACCGATCTTCGTCATGATAATACGGTGACATTCCATTTCGTCGAGGGCGACGTGGATTCGGTTCCAGGCCCGGGGATCTCGGGCTTCTACGACGGTCCTTACTACAGTTATTATAGGTTTCCCCGGTCCATTTCCGACAATGGCACCGACGGGGAGTCTTTACTGAGTGCGTACGACCGTCTTCAGGACGTTGTAGATGAAGAAGGTCCTTTCGATGGGGTCCTGGGCTTCTCCCATGGGGGCACCTTGGCAGCTGGATTCTTGATCCACCGTGCAAAATTGTACCCGCAGGAACTACCTTTGTTTCGCTGCGCTATCTTCATCAACTCCCTTCCGCCATTCCGGATGGATCCAGGCGGAGATCCGGTGATTGATCCAGATCTGGAGGGATACATCAACATCCCAACCGTGAGTATAGGCGGGGCTGAGGATCCACTGCTTGAGTACTCACTTGCCCTGTATTGGCTGTGCAATCCATCCATATCAACCTGGGTGGTGCACAGCAAAGGCCACGATATCCCGGCAGATACAAAGAATGTTTCTGTCATCGCTACAGCAATCAGGAAGTTGGCAGTTCAAGCGTTGGCAATTTGGTAACCCCTGAACTTTAGCCTATGCTTTCTTGCTTCTGCCTCCTGTCCATCTAGCATGGGATATATCCCGGAACAATAGAAGGAAAGTCTAATGCGAATCATCCGATGTCCAATAGAGTGATTCGGTGATCTCCGCAGATGTAGTTCGGCACATTGTGATGTGCAACACTCGCACCGGATCTTAACGGAATTATTGTACACCGTATATTTCAAATCAGTTGCTCCTGTATTGCCCATGCTCCAATGTACCCCTACGTTTGTGACTCCATTCTAGCTACTATGCATGGGTCGCTGAACCATCATGACGGCCGATTCCCTTGAACATAGCCCGCCCGCCATCCCGACACCCTCCACTGACACTTCAGAACCAACTTCATTAGACCGAGATGACTTGTCCATCCTATCCGAAGATCTGTGCATGCCCATTGCAATTGTCGGGGTGGGCTTCAGAGGCCCTGGAAGTGCCAGCAATGTTAAGCAATTGTGGACAATGATTCTCGAAGGACGGGAGGCGTGGAGTCCAATTCCCAAGTCGCGATGGAACAACGATGCCTTTTATCATCCCGATCACTCAAGACACGGAACAGTGAGTACCACCGTATTATTCAAGCATGTGGCCATCTTAGAGCTAACACCAAGACACGCACAGATCAACGTTGAAGGAGGACATTTCCTGGCAGAAGATGTGACATTGTTCGATGCACCGTTCTTCAACATGACAAGCGACGAGGCGGCCGTAGGTATACTCAGTAATCACTGGGTCCGGATTGGTTTTCTAATACCTCAGCTCTTAGGCGATGGACCCTCAGCAACGGCTGTTACTCGAGGTTACTTACGAAGGCTTCGAAAATGGTATGTCCATCCTGCCAATCGTATCCAAGTGCACGCTCACAGCCAATAGCTGGTATCCCGATGGTAAAGATAATGGGCAGCTCAACAGCCTGCTTTGTTGGTTGTTTCAACGCTGACTACACCGATCTTCTCCTCCGCGATCCAGACTGCATCCCAATGTATCAGTGCACAAACTCCGGGCAGTCCCGGGCCATGACAGCAAACCGAGTGTCGTACTTCTTCGACATGAAAGGCCCTAGTGTGACAGTTGATACCGCCTGTTCGGGTAGTTTAACAGCTCTCCATCTGGCATGTCAAAGCCTTCGGACTGGTGATGCCTCGATGGCCGTCGCAGCGGGAGTCAATGTGATCCTCAGCCATGAGTTCATGTCGACGATGACTATGATGAAGTTGGTAGGAAAGGCTCATTCTATCTAAGTATATCTAACCAATCTCCAGGTTTCTTTCCCCCGACGGACGATGCCATACATTCGACGAAAGCGCCAGCGGATACGCTCGAGGCGAGGGTATTGGATGTTTGATCCTCAAACCGCTAAGAGACGCTATTCAAGACCACGACCCCATTCGCGCCATAATTCGAGGTTCTGGACTGAATCAAGATGGCAGAACCCCCGGGATTACCCTACCCAGTGGCGCGTCGCAAGAAACCCTGATGCGTCATGTCTACCAGGTGGCAGGCCTCGATCCATGCGAGACGGACTTCGTCGAAGCGCACGGTACCGGAACACAGGCTGGCGACCATATTGAAACGGGCGCACTCGCAAAGGTATTCTGTCACAACCGAAGTCCTATGCGACCGCTACGAGTCGGGTCCATCAAAACCAACGTTGGCCATCTGGAGGGCACGAGCGGAGTTGCGGGTGTTATTAAAGCTGTCCTGATGCTCGAAAATCGGACCTTTCTCCCCAACCGCAACTTTCGAGCGGTAAATCCTCGTATCCGATGCGAAGATTGGAGACTCAAGGTAAAGTCCTCAAAGCCCCCCATTTGGTGTAGTCATTAAACCAGCCACAGATACAGTTAGCCGCGGAGCCGTGGGAATGCCCGAGTCCGCATCGTGTTTCTGTGAACAGCTTCGGATATGGGGGGAGTAACGCGCATGTCATACTCGAAGATGCACCAGGCTATCTTTACCGTCGTGGTCTGAGAAGTAGAGTGCGATACGGCGAGCATTCTGTCGATGCCGCCCAAACTTGCCCTACACGATCTCGAGTCTACTTGTTTTCTGGGTTTGATGAGAGATCCACCGCCAGGCAGCTTCAAACCTTTCGAGAGTATCTACTCAAGGTAAAACCAAAAGCAGATGAGAGATACATGAATAATCTAGCGTATACGTTGAACGAACGCCGCACGATCCATGTCTGCAGAGCTGCCATTGTGGGAACGTCCCCTGCAACGCTAGCAGAAGCATTATCCGGTAGGATGAAAATTGTTAAAGCTCGTCGACGACCAAGTATCGGTTTCGTCTTCACAGGACAGGGTGCGCAGTGGGTGGGAATGGGAAAGGAGCTACTAGAGGCATATCCGGTATTCCGCGAATCAATTCAACGAATTGACGACTACATAAAATCCATCGGTGCTCCTTATTGTATGGTGGGTACGTTAATCTGGTATTACCCCTTGCCAGGATTCACCTCACGTCATGACCAGCATGCACTGATGAAGATTAATAGAAGAGATCCTTAAGGATCAGGGAGCCTCGCGATTAAGCAACCCCCTCTTCAGCCAGCCCATATGCTCTGCCCTTCAAATAGCCCTGGTCGATCTACTAGCATCTTGGGGAATCTACCCAGACTCAGTGACCGGACACTCTAGCGGGGAAATTGCCGCTGCCTATGCCGCTGGTGCGCTGACCATGGAGGATGCCATGGCAGTGGCTTACTACCGAGGAGTGGTCGTTAGTAACTGGCCTCTGGCGAACGGGCAGATAAGGGGGGCCATGCTTGCCCTTGGGGTGTCTGCCCGAGAGAGTCAGTCATATCTCGATATGCTTCAGTCGGGAAAGGCTGTTGTAGCCTGCATCAATAGCCCATTGAGCGTCACAATTGCCGGGGATCTTCCTGCTATCGATGAATTAGAGCAGATCGTTCGCGAAAAACAAGTGTTTAGCCGTCGACTATCAGTGGAAGTCGCATACCACTCCCATCACATGAAATTAGTTAAGGACCAGTACTTGGGCCATATAGCACATGTGAGCCCGAGGAGCCGTGAAGATATTGCAAACTATCTTGGTAATCGATCTGTATCCTTCTTCTCCTCAGTGACAGGAGCCGAGATCAAACCATCCGAATTGGGCTCACAATATTGGGCTAGTAACCTAGTGGGCCAGGTGAATTTTGTCGATTCGTTACGCGCCCTGTGCTTCGAGACCATTAACCAACGGGCTCCAGTCGGGGCGTTAGGAAAGAAACGAATAAAGCGAGCCGGTATGGCTCAAAAGGTCAGCGTCGATGCCCTTGTCGAGGTTGGTCCTCACGCTACGCTGGCAGGACCGATCAAGCAGACCTTGAGAGATGACACAAAGCTCAATGCAGCTGAGATATTATACATTAGCGTTCTGACCAGAAAGAGCAACGCTGTTACAACTGCTCTAACTGCTGCC